AAATATTGGCTACTTGATCTTTGGCCATTGAATTAGAGCAATTAGTTCAGCTTGCTGGGCAGGCCTTATTTCAGGTAGATAAGAACTTTCAATTATGCACACCACAAAAGTTATTGCATATCCAGTTCGGTAATATCCCTGTTCATCTTTCAGATAAGATTCATCTATAAGCCAAATTAAATCAGCATTATCAATAGGAGTTTCTTATAAATCATTCTTAGGTGGTCAATAAGCAAAACACAATTGTGGGTGTCTTCATCCTGTAAAAAGGGTAACAAAATTGCAGGGTTAAGATGATTACATCGAGTCAAAGTAAGATTATGTGCAGAAAGCAAGAGCCAGTCAGTTGACAGTAGTGTTTAATGTTATGAGAATTCAACAGAAGGAGGAACATAACCAAAGGAAAGCCCATAACTATCTCTTCTATTTGTTTATACAACATGGCTATAGCAGAGATGGCCCTCATATAAGGAGGGAGCCTTTTGCTACTGAATCTAGTTGCTGACTAATATCCTATCTAAAAAAGAAGGAATATGCTAATTGAACATCATGCCCTCACAAGATGGTGGCACCCACAGTTAGAAGATGGTGGCATCCAGTCCCCTCAGCCCCGCCTCATCCAGCTGGAGTTTCCTAATCCCCTCAGCCCTGCTGGGGAAGGCAGTTGGGGATGATCACACTGGCAGGGGAGCCATTAGACATCAATCAGACTGGCAGGGGAGTGGTTAGGTGGCTATCAGGCAGGCATGCAGGCGAGTGGTTAGGAGCCAGCAGTCCCAGATTGTGAGAGGAATGTAGGCTGGGCTGAGGGACACCACCCCCATGCACAAATTTCATGCACCAGGCCTCTAGTAGGTCTATAATGATCTCCATGTTTCTGAGTTAAAATTTCCAAAGCATTTCCTTTACTTTTATTCATAAAAAATTTAGAAAGTTTATAATTAGGTGTCCCAGAGCAGGAACTTTAGATAATTCTTTAGAGATTTTATAGCTTATTTCCCTTCTAGGTTCTATGGTACTGAATTGGATCAGGTCCATTTGACTTTAATAGGACATATAGAGGCTGGGTCATTAATAAAAAATTTGGAACCCAATTGAGACAAGATCCAGGCAAACCCAGGACTGTTTTTGTAAGAGGAAAAGATAGGATTCCTCTGAGTCTCTCAGGGTTAATCAGTAGCCCATCTTTAGGTATGAGAAGGCCAAGGTATTTTATTTGAAGTAAGCAAAATTGAAGCTTATCCTTTGAGACTATATGTCTTTTTACAGCTAGCTGTTGTAATAGGCAGATTGTGTCCTTTGGGTAGTCCAGTAATGTCCTAGAGCCTTGGTCAGCAAACTGCGGCTCTCGAGCCACATGCGGCTCTTTGGCCCCTTGAGTGTGGCTCTTCCACAAAATACCACAGCCTAGGTAAGTCTATTTTGAAGAAGTGACGTTAGAAGAAGTTAAAATTTAAAAATTTTGGCTCTCAAAAGAAATTTTAATTGTTGTACTGTTGATATTTAGCTCTGTTGACTAATGAGTTTGCCAATTTCTGTCCTAGAGCATAAAAGTAAATCATCCACATGTTAGATTAGAGTAGAATCTCTAGGAAATTTGACATTATTTAAATCAGCCTTTAATATTTGGGAGAAATAGCTGGGGCAATCTGTATATCCCTGGGGCATTATTGTCCAAGTAAATTAGCAATCTTCCCAGGTGAATATAGGTGATATTGACTATATTTTTCTACTGAAATGCAAAGAAGGAGGAGGAGGAGGAGGAGGAAGAGGAGGAGGAGGAGGAGGAGGAGGAGGAGGAGGAGGAGGAGGAGAAAGAAGAAGAAGAAGAAGAAGAAGAAGAAGGAGGAGGAGGAGGAGGAGGAGGAGGAGGAGGAGAAGAAGAAGAAGAAGAAGAAGAAGAAGAAGAAGAAGAAGAAGAAGAAGAAGAAGAAGAAGAAGAAGAAGAAGAAGAAGAAGAAGAAGAAGAAGAAGGAGCTATAAAAATCTGTCACTGAAAATTATGGCAGTCCACAGAAACGGCTGATAATAAGGCACATGGATTTGGAACCACAGGATGTCTAGGGATAACAATCTTATTTCTAGCTCTGAGCTTCTGTTCAAATCTCCATTCTTCCAGTAAGGAAAATCTATTTTCCTTACTGGACGAATAGAAGACATACAGGGGCTTATCCTTGGAATTAGAAGACCCTTTTAAAAAATGATCTTGTATACTGGGCTCAATTCCAACTTGAGCATAAAGAATATCAGTGACTGGAATATCCTGTAACAAATATTCATTCAGTCAATCTCAAGATTAGTTTTCCCTTGTAGAAGTTCTTTTAAAATCATTATTTTCCCAATTGGTTCAGTATCTAATTTACTTAGTTCTAAATGCATTTCACCCTTCTTGGAAAAGGATATGCAAGTGTCATGGGTTTTCAAGGAAATCTCTCCTTATCAGGTGAATTAAGGCCAGTTTGACCGGTAAAAATATGTTGCCCTTAACATTTCTTAGTTGGAAGGAGACTGGTTCTGATTTTAGAACACTCATTGGTTGATCACATATCCCTACTAATTTCACAGAAGCTTAACTCTGGGGGAGAAGGCTACTTTATCTGTTCTGAACCATAACTGGGTATGGTTCAGAACAGATAAAGTATCCTAAGTATCTACTAGGGCCTTAGTAATTTCCCTTAGTGGTGATTTCAATTTATTTTAAACTATTGTAAACAAGAGGGAAAATGCCACCTCAAAGTCCTCAGAGCAACCATATTGAAATAGGAATTTTTAGATGTGAAATAGGCAGGTTTAGGGAATTTTTTTTAATTAAGGGAGTCCATGGAAAAAGTACAAGCTACAAAGCTGCAAAGGGGTACATTTCCATAAGACAAGGGAGGTGGGAGGGAGAGGCAGCAGTTACATTTCCAATAATACAAGGGAACTGGAAGTAGCAAAAGGTCTATATTTACCAAAAAAAAAAAAGGAGGGTCTCACATGTCCTATGTGAGGTTTGACCTTTGAGCTCAGGAGTTGCTGTAGTGACCAAATCAAAGGGGAATAGTGGCCAATCAGAGGGGATATTGAGGCACAAAAACTGTAGCCTTTTATAAAGGGGATGGAGGGACTCAGTGGGATTCTTTACCCCTCCCCACATGGGAGTCTGTGCTGTGGGACTTTTCCCCCTTCCCCATGTGGGAATCTGTACTTATTCTTCAATAACTTTCCAACTTTGCTATAGCACCACCTTTTGTCTTTGGTTTCATTCTTCGACAAGAACCCGAGAAACCATCCTGCCCAGGAAAACACATGTTTCCAGTCCAAAATTCCCATATCAGTATGCTTGCTTCTGTCTTTTTTCTCTTTCTAAATCCCATTTTAGTTTTCTGTAACCCTTCTGAAGGTGAATAGATTCCTCAACAGGAGTTTCCCAAAAAAACTTATTTGGTAATTCTGTTGCTTTGCTCCCAGAAACCAGTAGGTATATTAATTAGAATAGGTCAGAATAGCCAGAACCACATGGTCTAACAGGTAAATTAAATCATTTTGTGAACCCATCAGGATCCCAAAGAAAATCGCGGAAATCTTTAGGTAGATTCCTTAAATCTGTTCTAGTCCAAGGAATATTAGTATATACAATCATTGGTTCCCCCTGCCTAAGGCTGGCTTTTCCCTCAAAGGAGCTGATAGAATGTCTGAATTACCCTTGTCAGCATTTCTATTCTCATTTTTCCTTAGGTTAGTAGGAAGGTACAGTGGAGGAAATATAGAGAAGATAGAAGGGAAAGAGTGAGGTAAGGGCAAGACCGAACAAGAAAGCTCAGAATGCAAAGGATATGATGGAGGAGCTGCAGTAGGGGGGAGAATGGGTTGTTGGCATTTATTAGCTTCAGAAGCCTTCCTTAGTTCAGAGGCTATCACTAAAATGTGTTATCAACTTCTTGTAGAGAAGAGATTTTATCTGTGCTTCTCCTAGATTCTTTTAATTCCCAGTCAAGATATGCTTCCCATTTACTCATTTTCACTTTAGGGCCAGCTTTTTCTAATTTTGTATGCAAAAAGAAAATTTAGGCACCAAAAGAGTTCCATTTGGCCATCTTAAGTTGCTATCACTTCTAGTTAAAAAGTCCCATTTCTGTGAGTACTTACAGGTAAAGGCTTCCTATTTATTGTATATCTGTGGAAGTATTAATAGGGGCTGGGGCTGGAATTTTTCAGCCTTGGAGGCACAATTTCCCATGTTAATTTCAGTTTGCACAATCTGGACACATTTCTAGGGATACTGTGTGGTAGGTTGAAGTGTGCTGCTTATGAGTTGAGATCCAAGAGGCTGTAACCTCCCAAGTTGCACCAACCCCTCTTCTATGTCTCGGTTTCTCTTCCGGCTGTCGAATACAGCTGGAGGACTTAGAGCACTAGCTAACCAGCATTTTTGTTCATATTTCCAGATGAATCATTATTTTATTGAATAATTGAGTTAAAATTTTCTATAGGGCTCCTGCACATCATAAGGGATGCCCTCTGATACCTCCACAGAGATTCTTAGGCACCTAAGACCACCCAAGATTCAAGCTGAAGGGAAGAAGTGCCCATTATTTTCAGAGCTGAAAGAGTTCAGTCTCTCATTTATCCAGCAAAAGGTTTTATTCAAACTCTCAGTAATTCCAATTGAAAAGCCAAAATTGAAATGAGCCACCCACCCTAACTCCAACCTGAGTTTTCAACTCTTATCTTTAGCTTAGCTTCTCTCAACCCTTACCCTTTAGCTCCACCTGAAGAAATCTTTTTAAACAGCTCAAATAAAGTCAGGCCTCTTAGCTCAAAACAGGGAAGCCTAGAATTTTTAGAAAAACTCATCCAAGTTCACCTGATGCAAAGCAAGAAGCCAGTGGGCCTAAGAGGGCCCTGCTGATAACTAGCATAAGTCGAAGTCTTCAAGCTGGTCCAACAGGATTCCAGCTGTTGCACTATGCCAAGTAAATGTCAATGTAAGAAATGTTTAAACCTGTAGAGAATTTACATGAGTTTATTTGAGCCAAACTGAGGACAATTGCCAGGAAGCAAAATCTCAACAGATTGAGAAAATACTCCAGAGAATGGCTGTTGTGCACCTTATTTTTTTTTAAGTTTTTTTTTTTTTTAATATATATTTTATCAATTTTCTTACAGAGAGGAAGGAAGAGGGATAGAGAGCTAGAAACATCAATCAGCTGCCTCCTTCACACCCCCTACCGGGGATGTGCCCGCAACCAATGTACATGCCCTTAACGGGAATCGAACCTGGGACCCTTCAGTCCGCAGACTGATGCTCCATCCACTGAGCCAAACCAGTTTCAGCTTGTGCACCTTATTATATTACAAAGGATAAGGCATAAGGGGTTACATGAAATCCATTGGCAGTACTTTAGGGAGATAGAAGAAAGCAAAGTGGAGAAATCTCTGGGATTGGATAAAAAATAAAAGAAATAGACACATACTTCTCTTACATAGGTGGGTATAGGATAGTTAACAGCTAACATTAGCACAGTAACAATAGCAATGAGAGGCTCTGAGTTCTTCTGCTCTGGTGGGAGATTGAGCCTAAGGGGTCTGGAAAGAGGAAATTATCCTGACATTCGAAAGATATGTTATTGTAGATGCAAAGCAACAATAACACTAGACAGGCTCAGTTAAAGACTGACCTTTGTCTGGAAAGATACCAGTCTAGGACATGGCTATCAGCCATGACTGGCTTTCAATTAGAAAGTTTTAATTTTAGACCATCCTGTATGGTTACATTAGGTCTCTGAGTTGTTATTTTTAATTTTTTTTTTAATTATTGCTTTTAGAGAGAGAGAGGAAGGGGTAGAGAATGAGAGGGAGAGAAATGTTGATTTGTTTCACTTATTTATGCATTCATTAGTTGATTCTTGTTTGTGCCCTGATCCGGGATAGAACTCCCAACTTTGCTGTGTATCAGGATGATGCTCTAACCAACTGAGCTACCCAGTCAGGGCTAGGTCTCTGAGTTCGTCAGGCCCACCATGCAGATGTAGTATGTTGCCCCTTTTTCATCCACACTGCCCTGGAAGGTGTAAGGATAGATAATGCTCAAAACCTCCTTGCATATAGCACTCAGTAATGTAAGCACTTCTTTCCTCATTCACAATATTGGGTGTCTTGAGGGTAGTGGTCAAAGTCAGCTCTGCAAGGACTAGCACAGCTTACGGTGATTCTGTTGCCGGTAGAAAGGGAGTCTTTTCATAGGATCATAAAAAAAGCATTTCCAGGGACCCACACGTGGGAAATTAGGGCGTTGTGGTAAGGCATATTGAAGCTGTGCACGTTATAATTTCCTCTTTCCCGACCCCTTAGGCTCAATCTCCCACCAGAGCAGATTCATAGCAAATACAAAGGACTATCCTGGGCTCAGCTCTGTCCCACTGTGGGAAAAATCCAGCCTTTCCTTAATGACCCAGACATAGGGCCAGTGTCTAGACTTAGTCCAGATTAGTCTCTGTCCCCATCTGGCTATCTTAGTCTGTTTCCAGAGGTGCTTTGGCTGGTGCAGTGCCCAGGTTCATGCTTGGAGTCCACACTTCTAATCTGTGTGGCTGCTAGGCCCCCATGGTTGCTATGGAGAGAGAGTACATGAACAAACTCAGCAAACTCGTGTTACCCGGTGAGAGAGAGCTTTGTTAAGTTTGGGAAGGACTAGGCATTTCTTCAAACTAACCAATCAGTTTCTCAATCTTTTACAGGCTTGCATAGGGTCCTTCCCTAACCAATCCATTTCCTAGGTCTTCCAGGGTTCTGTGTCCCTATCCAATCTGATCCTTTTCCCAGGCTAGGCCGAGAATCCTATTTTCTTCCCCACAAATTCAGCTGCTGTGTGTGAACTTGGTACAAGTGTGTGCCTGAATCACCTTGTGATTTACTTTTAGATAATTGTTGTGCAAACCATGAACTTTAGCCATGATTTATTTTTTTCTATTTAATAGGAACATATTTCCCCTTGGGAATTAATCATGTTGAAAGTTGAATTTTCCCTTTGACATGACATTTGTGGGGGTTTTTTAGCCACTTTAAAAGAGAATTATTCTTTTGTTAAAATATATTTTTATTAATTTCAAAGAGGAAGGGAGAAGGAAAGAGAGAGAAAGATCAGTGATGAGAATCATTGATGGGCTGCCTCCTGCATGCCCCCCACTAGGGATGGAGCCCACAATCCGGGCATGTGCCCTAACGGGGAATCAAACCATGACCTCCTGGTTTATAGGTAAGTGCTCAACCACTGAGCCACACCTGCCGGGCAAGAGAGTTATTTTTTTAATATATTTTATTGATTTTTTTACACGGAAAACCTCATCCACCCACATCTAATGTAAAGACATCCTGGGCTATACGGGAAGTCTCACCGGCAAGCCTGGGCTTCTCCTGTGTGCAGTCTGTGCTGTTGACTCAGTTGCCTAGCGGTCTTTTTGTGTCCTAATTCTCATCTATGTTCTAGATCACCACTCACTACCAGACACTGCGTGATGACTGGAATGTTCATCCACATGTCCAATCTGGCAGCTACTGACCACATGTGGCTACTGCCATGGAGGAACTAAATATCCTATTCTGTTCTGTTTTCTATTCTATTCTGTTGTTTATATTTACATTGAACTAGCCACATGTGGCAAGTGTATTGGACAGCACAATCATCTAAAGACAGGTAAACTTAAGTCTAAGGTGGGTGACCTGTTATTGTATAGTTCCTCACTAACAGACAATAGATTGTGTGTGTGTGTGTGTGTGTGTGTGTGTGTGTGTGTGTTCTTTTGAGTGAATAGGCCCCTTCTAGTTTTGTTCTTGGGATTATATTCAGCAACATTATTTGATCAAGAACACACCACAAACAGAAGAGAATGAACAAAATAAAGCTTTATTAGAGCTGCCCTGCAGATCACTCTGAGGCCCTGGTCACTGTGCAAGCTTCCATCTAAGCCATCTCATAAATAGCACCATAACTATGGTCTTCTTAGTGCACCACACATGTGACAGGTCCAGGTGTATGGTCCTCTGTGGCTAAGCACTGTGACAACAGACCGTTACTCGGTATATCTGTGTGCTACAGCCAATGGCCACTCCGTTGGTGCTACAGGTGTACTTGCCTAATCACCCCAGAGGCCAGCACGGCTACCGCCCACAGTAAGTATCCAATACCCCAGACACTCCTTGAACACCGACACAGGTGCAAGGTACTGTGGACTGTGAGGTAAAGACAAGGATGACCTGTCCTGTCCTCCAGGCTACCTTCCCCTGTGCTCAACACCATCGTCCCTGGCATGCTTGGCTAATAAACAAACACTTTCTGACTTGATGATTACATCATCATGCTAACCTTAGGGGACTTAAGGCACATTGAAAGGGAGAAACTTGATTCAGGGCTCCAGCCCTCATTCCTGGGCCTCTGTGGTTCTTGTGCCCCAAAGACAGAATGAAGACAGGCAGAGTTCTAGCCGAGTCCATGCTCTCAGGTACCTGAGTTTTCGCTGGCTTCCCTGAACCACCCACAAATTGGGAGCATGCTGATCTCCTACCAAGAGGTATCCAAGGTGGGGAGGGGAGAATCTTCCCAGATTACAGTGTGGAGAAACAAGAACGTGTGACTGGAGCAGCTTTAGGACTAAAAGGTGAGCACATCCATGCCACCACTTTACAAGTTGAGTTTCACTGTACACAAACCAAGAGAAGTAGAAATGTATACCAGAAAAAGGCATGCTGCAGACTCGAGCATTCTCAAGAGAGCTGTGTTTAGACTGGGGTGCCAACACTTCCGATTCACATTTCCAACTATGCCAAACCATCATCACAAGTGCACCCCCGACTCTCTCCATGTTTCCCCATGAGAGAAGGCAGACAAGATTTTCATAACTCTAGGTGTTACAAAGAGCATGTACAAGCAAACCCATACATTCCACATGTTTGCATGTTATTCTTCCAAAATATAAAAGTATAAAAAATAACACATCCATCTTTTATATCTAGAAACATCTGGAAAAAAAACCCTGCCTGCTTCTACTTCTCAGTCATCTGAGCAGGCACGCTTCACCAAGTTTTTCACCTTCCTGTGCAGTCTGGCGCGGGCACAGACACAGAGTCAACAGGGACTTTTCATTCAAGGAAACCAAATTCAGGACAAGTAGAACGGACCTTAACCAATTTTACAGAATCCTCGCATGGGTTCTCCAACACAAAGGGGAAGGGGTTTTGGCACGGACTCTACATGAGGGGCGGTGTGGGTTACGTATGCGCTGGGAGGACACTACTCTGGGACATCTAAAAACAAGCCAACGGAGGGCTCTGCCCTAGAAGGACAAGTTAGGGGCTTGGGCATCACCGGCCAGCGGCCTTCTTGTCTTTGTGCTCCTTGTAGGCACTTATTAATTCCGTGATGATGTTGGGGTCCTCCAGGGTGGTGGTGTCCCCCAGGTTCTGAGTCTTGTCTGTGATGACCTTCCTCAGGAGCCTCCGCATGACTTTTCCAGACCGAGTTTTTGGAAGACGTTTCACTACCTGGCAAGGAAGGGGTGCAATGTTAGAATCTCACGTGGTGCCAGCATCTTCACGTGGTGCCAGCGTCCGACCGCATTGAGGAAAGAAGGGCTCTTCCCAGGGGATCAATGAGGCCCACAGTCTACAATCTGGACCTGAAGCTGTATCACCCCAAAGGGCACACTCAACTGTGGGTCCTGCCCAAGCCTCCAGCAGACCCTGGTTCCCCTGTACCTGCACACTGCTGACACCTGTTTCTCCCATAAGCTACATTAGCGAGGACCCCTGGGCAGCAACAGGAGCAAACCCGCACCACAGCAGCTTGTCTCTAACCACTGGCCTGGGTCTGGGTTGGTTTTGTCTTATGTATAAGGTGAGAGCTACTTAAGAGAAAAAATGTTGTCTTGCTAGTGTGTAGGAGTTTAGCATTTCACACTTTCCAAAAGCCGCGACCCACTCACGGTCAATGGCAGTATCTTAGGGGATGTATTTGGGCTCGTTGTTAATGACCTATTTTTTTAAGAAAGAGTTCAGTTCCTGCGAGGAGAGTTCAGGTCTCACTGGAACTCTGGTCCCCAGGTTAACAGCTTGACCTTGTGCCATACCAAGTGGTGCTTCAGAGGGCCGCTTCCATGCGAAGGAACACGATGGGGTGGAATGTAATGAAAGAGTGAAACACTAAAGGGCTGAGAGGGTGGCCCAGTTCTTCCACTAAACCGCTCCACCACAGGCTCCCCCAGGTAGGCTCTGCGGCATCTCCTTTGCCGGCACTGGGAAAAGTGTTCGGGAACCACACCCAGGGGCTGAAAAACTCTGGTGCTCTCCACCTGTTTCTCCATTTCTCCCTAATTTTCTTCCCCTTGTAACCAGCCCCCAAATGCCAAAGTAAG